ACGGGCAAAACCCACAGACAACATCAAGCATCACAACCTCAGCACCATCAAAGAAATCAAAGTGGTAGAGGTTAATATCTAGAGTGCAAGGCTACGTGTTATTTTAAAATGGCATTAAGGGTGGATTTTTAAATGGCACGAATGGATCAGTATCGCATGAATTACTATCAGAAGAATATGCTTTGCAAATAAATAACAGTATTTTTTGCTGATGCTTTTTTCTGGGCGATAGTGAAGCAGGCTGCACTCTAACGGCACGAACCAACAGCGCTCCAATGTGGCATTTGACAGGCAAATATTGCATAAGAAGCCTTTAAAAATGAAGTTATTTATAGCACAATCTTAAAAACAGTGTTTCTAATGTTCATTTTTGCACAAATGCTCCTCATGTAAACAAAAAATTCACAGGCCCCAAATCCCAGTAAACTACAATCCAAGTGGTCATATAAATTTACTGCATTCTGACTCTTCCTTACAAAGGAAGACTCAGAAAGGAGAATTGTAGAAGTTTTTGCTCAACTTAAAAATGTTAAAAGGACCTATATTAACCCTGACTTTTCAGGCCAGTGTGATAATACCTTAAGAAGCTATAAACCAGATAAGGAAAATTTTATGCCATCTTTTACAGGAACTGGAAATTTACTCCACCCTATTGGGCCTTGACTTGTGCATTTCCCTGAGATTTATTTACAACAGAATCCCAGCTGATTTTCAGGGACTTTTCATTTTCAGAAAGAGGAATAACAGTATTTGTGAACATCTGAAACTAGAGGTCTGCATTTACAGAAGCTCATTAAAAAAAAAAAAAAAAAAAAGCTTTATTTGGTTCAAGTGGTAGGTGCTTTCCATGTGCTCTCATTCAATACATTTGTTTTAATCTTTCATAAATAAGAAAGCATTTTCATACATGTCATCATGAAGGACTCTACTTGGAGATATAACTGTTACTCCACAGGATATAATCAAGGTGTGATTCCACTGAAGCCAACGGAGCTGAACCTGTTAAATGCCTTTGTTTAGCCTATGGAGCAGAGCTGAAGCTCTGACTCAGAACACCGAGAAGTGTGTGAGGACTGCTGCATAGCCAGGCTCATACCTGCACTAAAGTGTTAGGTTGGTGCAGTTTGCAAACAAAATCCATTTCTACAGCACAAGTCATAAAAGGAAAATATATTTAATTTGAAAAATGTAAACATTTTCATTCTGAATTGGCTTTAAGCCAAATACCTGGAAATATATATTTTTAAATACTAAAATAATTTTAGAAGCCACACACCTTCAGGAGATCAAATTTTGCACACTTAACAGTAACTTATGGCTGTGAAAATACCATCCATAAAACAAGCTTTGAAGTTACCAAAAACTGGAATAAAGAAAGTTATATACATTGCTAGCAATTTAGAGAATATTTTAAATAAAGAAAAAAACCCACACACAATTAATGACAGACTCAATCAAAGCTAAATCCCACACATCTGTTCTCATACTTTTCATTTTAAAAATCACAATGGATTTAAAAAAAAAAAAAAAAGAGGCTTGGAACCTAATATTCCCAGAAGCTCTTTTCCAGATGAACAACTTCTAGGCAAAAGAAAAAAAAATCAAAAATAAATCATTCTTATACTGAGAATGCTGCAAGTCCCAAGGATTAAAAGCCTCATCTATCAGGGAAAGGGAACTCTGCATTCTAGATGAGTATTCTGCAGGTACTACACAGCAAGCTACCTGGCACCTATGAAATGCTGTATGTTATTTTTACAAAATCAGTTTGAGAAAGTCAACAGCAAAGACGACCAATATTTGATTTTATTTTCTGTATTTAAAAGGACACATATCAGGCCCTAGATTTTACTAAAGTTTCATGGCCTGTAGTTTACAGTTAACCTTAGTCTCAAGTTATATCTGTACACAGCTGTCCACTTAGAAATGCTGACTGAAACGCATCAAAATTTGGAACCATAGATTTTTGAACTAAAATATGATTGAAAGATCAGTGATAACTTTCTGTCCTGGGTGCCAGATCAGTATTATGTAATACCTGTTCTAATTGTGTTCAGACATAACAAAAGTCAAGCTACTATAATCAACCTTGACATTCAAAGGACATGCCAGCAGCCTCAAGCACTAAAAAATTCTAAATAACCCACAGAGCAATAAGGGTAGTTACAGATGTATCCAGGAACATAAGAGAATCTACAACTTATCTTGAGATAAAAATATTTTTAAAGAAAACTGAAAATACATTTATTGCTACAACAACTCCACCCTTTACTTCAGTTAGCCCTAAGATTCATAAAATTAATGTGATATTTAATATTTAACATTTTCTAAGTCAGTCAACAACAGAGGAGATAAAGAAACAGTATCATCTGCATATCAGTAGAAATAGAACATCTGCACTGGTGCTACTTGGAAGGACTCAGAAGATAACAGATACCTCATGCACATCCCTAATTAACACTATGGGTGGGGGGCAAAGGTGGATTTGAAGGAAGAAGAAAAAAACACCCACAAGAAGCAATCCCATGCAGCAACACTGAACCAAAACCAAGGTTAAAGGCAAAGAAAAGGCTATGGCTATGCCAGTATAGGGATTTAACATTCCTAATGGTACTAGGATCCTTAATACTGACATACAGTATGCTACAATAGCTTGACAATAGCCAAATCAAAGGATATTTTGCTGAAACTGCTTCTAAACTTTGGATTCTGATGAAATGTACCCCAGCTATATCAATTTTTCCTTTTCAGTAATGCTAACAGACATTAAAAGTTTTTTAGAGCGCTGCTAGCAGTTCCTCTTTTGCACCACAAGCTGCTTAGAACGACAAGACACCACTGCAGAGGTGTGCCTAAGCACGACGACAAGCAGATGTACTCCCTACATTCCCCAAGTCGCTCCTACATCCCGCGCCTACCGAGACGCCAGCCACCAAGCCCCACAGATTTACAAACACAGGCTGCGCCAGTTATTTGGAACATCTGGGACAGGATCTTAGCTCCGTTCCAGATGAACTGTTGCAGCCTACAACAAATAATTCATCTCAAGCATGAAAATGAAGCCACGAGCACCGCAGATGCATTAGGTTAACTGATCCTTCTAATTCATCCTTCATGCCAATTGTCCCACAGGACTCAATGAGCGCTTTATCCCTTACACATCAGGCATTCCCTGCAGGGGAATTCTGTTTGTCCTAACGTGAAGGGTAGGACTCGGTTGCCAACAGTCATCTAAAGCCAGCGTAGCCAGTGCAGAGCATTCTGTCTGGCCTCCAGCTGACATTCCTTGGAGGCCCTGTGTCCTGCTGTCTGCGTGGCTAACACGGATCACACAGGGCATTTCAAATGACACTTGATGCCCCTATTTGGGCAGCTGGATCACACCCAAAATACTGTACAGGTAACAAAGGCAAAGCCCCCGTACATTCTCCCTGAAGGCAAAGGATCTTGTGCCATTAGCAGCCAAGCCTTTATACAAGGACAACAGCTACACGGCTGGAGCACGGTCTTCACCAGAAGACCAAGACCAGTGACCGAAGTTACACGGGACACTTACAAACGGATTTAACTATTTTATGACACTTGCTCTGTTTCTTCTTGTATTCTTGACAGTGGCAACTGTACCTATGATGAGTGTTGATGGTGAGTTGAACTATCTTGTGCAACACACCTAATGCTCATCACCAAAATATCTTTTACCTCAAGAGGTTCCCACCTCCATTGCAGTCTCAGCAATAAGAGTGAGTGAGCAAAAGAAAGAATAAAGCAAAGTAGTTAAGTAGTTAAAAAGTAGTTAAGTGGCATCACTGTGCTCAAAAAGATACCATGTATAAAAGCCAATTCTGAAGCCAAGTTCCTTTTTCAGATAGTTCCTGTGGACTACTGCCTCCCCCACCAAAAAAGTGTGTATAGAGAACCCCATTCCAGACAGTCAGTTTTACAGGAATAGTATTTATCTCAAATTCTTGCTTGCTCTGA